TTCGATTCCATTGTGTGAGGCTGAAATCTACACTACCATCCCTGTTCATATTGCTTAGATGGGATTGTTCTGCCTTGGTAACACACTTGGCACTCTCAAACCTTTGTGATTTATCATTGTGCTGCTTCTACAGATGACTTTTGTCACCTGAAACCCTTTCACATGGATTACCAAGAATTCTATATAAGAGATGACTGCTGTGTATCAGATTGGGGGGTGGGGGAGGGAACAAACAAAAAAAACCCCAACACACAAACTCCCCCCCCAAAAATGCCACTGCCCCAAACCCCCAAAAATGCGACAGCCCTCAACATAGCTCACATAGGGTCTGGGCACATAGAGCTGCAAATCTGCTTCACATTAGCAAGTGGATTTAAAAGGAAAAAACCTACAGCTGCTATGTCATGAGTTAGCTGTTTGTTATGTGAAATCCATTTTGTCCCAGTAGCACAGTGATGACCCAGAAATAAAACACCGGCTGATGTTTAAAAATACTGTATTTGAATGTAAGTTTCCACTGTGCTGTGCTGTTTTCCAGGCTTAGATTCTGGTCACGTTATCTTTTAAATGTTTTCATCTCCCATCATTTTTTGGCTGTTTCCCAGACAGCCAGGCTTCCCAGGCTAACGGCTGTCCGCAGTCAGCCATGAAGATGTGATTTGTGGGTGAAAAGGTTGCAGTCCCAACAGGACGTGTCTCGTGCACCGCACCGGTCCACACTGTGGGTGTGCAGCAAAACTACAGCTTTATGTTGCTGTACCTCATTTCAAGGTTTAGGCAGCTTGGGTGCCTGTGCAGCGGGAGGCAGAGAACAGAATTGTGTGTGTTCTCAGGCTTCCCCCCTGAGAAGGAGTGAGTTAGATCACAGCAGGAGGAGTCAGTACAGGCTGGCAAAAGCTGCAAAGGGGAAGGCTGGATTCTGTTTCTTAATATGTTCTTTTCCTGCAAAATCTGTTTTGGATACAGTCCAGTCTTGTTCCAGAATTACTGGTAGTAGCCTATTTTTCAAGCAGGCAGCCAGAAAACTGCATGCCCATTACTGGTGGTCTGCACTGTCTTGCAGTTGTTGAATGTAAGTATTGCAGTACTCTGGATTAGGCTGGTTTAGTGCTTAATCTGCAGATAGAAAACTTCGGGTATCTCTGGGAAGGTTAAAAGATCAGTCTGTCGTTCACATTAGATACAATTTTAGGCTTTTCAGGCTCTGCTGTGGTGGGTTTTTTCCCTTTGCCTTAGTCCTTGTTTGAGTGCAGACAGACAGATGCTGAAGTTAATGTAGGAGAGTTTTTACAGTACCAGTCTTGAACTGCTGATCATCCTTCCTGCTGTGGGGAGTGCTTAATCCCTCTGGACTGTGAACTTGCATATCTAGTTAAGCATTTGTGGTTAAACTTGGTGATTTACAGAACTTGCTGGCTTACCTGCAGTAGAGGTAGACAAACTCCTTCTGCTTTTGTGTTTCACGTGAGATTTGTAATCGGGAACCATTAGAAGCTCTCTTTGAAGGGCTATTTTGAGCAAGTAAGAAATCCATTACTTGTTGATTTCAGATTATGCTCACATTTGGTCTGTTTTGCAAAATCCTATTTAGAAAAATTTTGTGCTAAGATAACTGAAGTGCAGTAGTGCAAAACTGTCCACAACTTTGTTTTTTCATGCTCATTCTGCATTATCGGTTGATACCAGTAGGACCATAGTGAGGTAGGTTCGCCTCTGTCACAGCCATGCCAGGGAAGTGTCTTGAGAATAGACAATGTGGGATGTTTCTCAAGCTTTTGATGGACTGTAATGCTTTTGTATTCCAGGGCAACGTGTATGTCAAATGTCCTTCAATTGCTGCTGCCATTGCAGCTGTCAATGCATTGCATGGGAGGTGGTTTGCAGGTGAGTGGATTATATGTGGAGACCTACATTTATTCATTAATTACAGAAATTACCAAATACTGATTTTTTCCACCCTGCCCTTTTGATCAGGTAAAATGATTACAGCAGCGTATGTACCTCTTCCGACGTACCATAGCCTTTTCCCAGATTCCATGACTGCAACCCAACTACTGGTTCCTGTTCGACGATGAAGATGGAGTTAGCCAGTTTTGTACATAGCTATTTTTTGGAGGAAGATTGAGTTACCTTTTATTTAGATAAAACTAAAGGAAAGGATTTAATGTCATTTTGTGTACACTTCCTGCTACCTTTAAAAATAAAATGAAGTAAGCAGAAATGCAGTGTGTTCATTTTCCCTACCTAGCATTTCCACTGTATACAAAGCTGTTGACTTCTTCTGCCTTGTAATTCTTGTACATTTACTAAAGTAATCTGTAGGAACTGAGAAGTAGCTCATAGAAAACAAGTTCTCTGTAAAAGGCAGATGGGACATAATGACGTTTTTAATGTTTCACAAGCCTTTGTTCTAATGCAGCAATTACATTTTACATTTCACTAAATGTAGGTGATCTGCTAAAAGTTGAAGGGACATATTTAGTGTTTTGTATAAATGGAAAAGTCAAAAGGCTACTGAAAGCTGACTTCAGATGGCCAGTCAGCTTGCTTTGTGCTGAATAATTGGTTAGGATTGAAGGGTTTTATTTCTTGATGGTAACTTTTGATTAATGTATCTGTATAAGTTTCTTTGTAAATACTGTGTGAGGTGTGTCTAAGTTTCCAAACAAAACTATCTCTGCATTTCCAGAGAAGTTTCTATGTATGCAGTGTGGCACAGTTGAAGCATTTCAGCAAAGTCTGAAAATTGTTAGGAAATACAGAAACGTGTTTTGTTCTGGTTGCATATAATCTTTGCTCTTTTTAAGCTCTGTGAGCTCTGAAATATATTTTTGGGTTACTTCAGTGTGTTTGACAAAACAGCTTGATATTTCTATCAAACAAAGACTTTCATATTGCAACAATCTTTGTAAGAACCACTCAAATAAAATTCTCTTAAAAAGGCCTTCATCAAGCTTTATTTCTCTGCTCTCCTAGTGTGACTTAAGCAGGGTGTGCTGAAGACTGGAGGTGAGTGATGGATGCTTTGAAACGGTGTATGTCCAGAACACCACTACTTCATGAGAAAATGCAGGAGCTTTTTGAACCCTCTATGTACTGCAGTTGTGGTTGTTGAGGGCCTGTGGGTTTTCTCACTGCCTGGCTGGTGGACGGCTCTTGCCCTTTCTCAGGCCTGCTGCAGATTCATTCCAGAGATAACTTCTCCTCTGCCCATCTCCACCCCGCCATGGCTGTGAATCGTGGAGATGTAGGAGCAATTTATGTTGGCTTTTTGTCTGGTTTCTGTAAGGAAGCCTGCCCAAGTGACCTTGGTGACAAAGGTGTAGAGAGTACGTCCCACCCAGGTGAGTGAGAGTGGGCTGGGCAGGGATGCTGTCAGTGCTGTGAGACAGAATCTGGTGGTGCCCTGTCTCCAGCCTCATGCTGCCCTTCAGGGTGTACGCAGCTGTGGCTGAGCTGCTGTGTGGCAAGAGACTGTCTTCAGCAAGCCAGGAGGGAGCCACAGGAAGAAAGGAGACTGGGCAACAGGAGGTAGTACAGAGGCAGATATGGGGAGGCGCCAGGAGTATACTACAGGAGGATGTCATGGTACTTGACATTGCTGAAGAAAAGCAAGCAAAGCTGCTCTTTCGTTTTGCTTGACTTTTTTTTTTAGTTACCAGTATTAATCCACCCATGCCACTTGGAGTAAAACTGGGGCTGTTCCAGAGCAGGTGTGTTGCTTGACTTGGTTGTCAGGGCTAGTCTCTCTGAGGTTCCTGAGCTGCATGACAGCAGACCAGAGAGCAGGCTTTCAGTGGCAGATTTGTGTTTCCTCAAAAACTGGGGAAACAGCACTTGTACGAGGTAAAGGCTGTATAGGCGCTAGTTCTGCTGCTGTTACCCTGTCTTCTGTCCTTAAACAGAAATAAAGGAGGATCAAAGATAAGCCTTGTTTCAAAAGGCAGAAAACAGGAGACTGCAGGGACTAAACTGCACAGTTCATAGTTCATCTGGAGGCCGGGGTTGGGGGGGAGGAGTGCCCTGTTCTCCCTGGGAAGCATTGAGCACCTTGCAGACCCATTAAGGCAGCCTGGAGAAGACTTTCTGGTAGCACAGCTCTTACAGGTGAAGCTCCCTTCCCTTGCTGACAGAATGAAAAAAGCCTCTGCAAGATCCTAGGGGTGGGTGCAGCTGCAGCCGCTGCTTCTGGCCTTCTGTTCTCTGGAAGGGCTGGACAGCAGCGTGCCCAAGAGTGTCAGGCTGCACCCCTGCAAGCTGGGAGAGAGGCAGCACAGTCGGGCTGTGCTGTTCTGTGCTCGTAACACAGTAACTGCAGCACATCTAGTCCACATCTAGAGCTTCAGGAAAGGTATTGCTCAAGGCCTGACGAGGAGGTTACATCCCCCATGTCTCGTGTCAAAGTCATCCTTGTGACTAGCACAAAATACCATTAGCGTTCTTGTCCCTTTTCCAGTAATTTAACAACTTCCACATCCAGTAGCATGGCTGTACCTTTAAGTGTTCTGTGCTGTTTCCTTGCTGCTTCCTGCACCCACACGCTGCCATGCTGGCTGGAAGAAGATGCCTGGACTGCTGTAGTTTGCCTTCAGTGGCAGAAGGACTCGCCCAAGTCCCTCTGGGGTCCCTCACTCTCTGTGAGGGCATTTGCCTCATATTACCTGGAACTCAGAGATGGGGCCAGCTTCAACCCACCTGTTTTTGCAAGAGAAGATTTATATTTGATCTGAATTAGCCACACAGTAACTCTCCTACACTTGGGAGTGCACAAATGCAGTGGAGCAGCTCCACCTCAACCCATCAGCAATGCAAACTGCCCAAGCACCAACGGCAGAAATGTGTGCGCTGCGTTTATGCCTGTGAAGCAGGAACTTTAATGTAGTACAAAGGATTATCAATTCTCATTGTCATGGGAGGAAAGTATAAATTTGGTAAAAAGCATGTTTACAATCAGCAGAGCAAGGAGGAGGGTGCTTCACCATTTCATGAAGAGCTCTCCATTCCAGGTATCTGAAGATTTCATTGTGGTACAGAGGAGGAATGGCTGGACGGGGGCACTCCAGGATAAAACCCAAGCTCCAGGTTAGCAGCGGATTCCCATACCAATAGCCATGAATGTCCCAAATGTGCCACCACTTTGCATCATTGTTTTGCCCACTCCACCCATCAGCTCTCGTCCTCTCATGCCAATCCTGAGATAAAGAAAAACACAGGAATTATGTAAAAGCTGAAGCCTAACAGGTTAACAGACATGCAGCAGAAAACATCTGATACAACCAGATAACGGTTGCCTGAGCACCCAAATCAAACACTTCCTCTTTGGTTTAAATTTAAAATGATACCTCCTGCCTCCACAAGGTGATGGGCTGCAGTGGGCCATGCCTGAGCTACTGCAAACAAAAAGAGCTGATCTCTTTGGAGCACTTGAGTGACCCTTGCCAGTGGCCCATGTGTAGCTTTTCCTGCAGCAGTACGAGCTGACACTGTACCCTCCTGCCACACGACCAGCAGGAACAGCCTTGCCTGCTAGTGTCCCAAATACCCTTAATTTTGGGGAAAAACAATCATGCTGTCCAAGTATCTGACTTACCACAGAATAAAAAGGGTCTGAGCTGTTGTATTCCCACCATCTGGCTGCAGTGGCTGTATTTTTAACACTACCAACTTAAAACGATTTTGTGAACTAACTTCCTATTTACCCCGAGGCTGTATTTTTAATGTGAGAGAAACCTGAAAGACCTAGAAGTGCCCACAGGCATTTCTGTTCCCCAGATCCCATTTACCTGAGATCAGACCCAAACCAAAAAGAATTGTTCCTTCTCAGGAAGCTCGTGGAATATTTGGTTTCTAAGCACTGCTGTGACTGTAGGGTCTAAGGAATTTCCTGCACTTGATTTTCAAAACATGGGGATTTTCCCTCAAAAAGGGTACAGCAGAAGAAATGCAGCTGCATCATTCAAATACAACAGAACCACTGGTACCGCTTCTTCTAAATATCCTCCATCTGTATTTTCTGCTTGCATCGTACCACTTACAAGTCCTCTCCAGGATCTGAGAGAGCACCTCCCTCCCCAGTCCCCCAGCAGAGCATTCCCCTCTGGCTGTCGCTGTGTCCCGACCTCCTGACCTGGCCCTGAAAGCCATTTCCTTGGCATACCTGAGGCAGGAAAATGTGCCAAACAGTGCTCCTGCTGCCATGCCCACTGCAAAGCCCATCATGAAACCCATCTTTACTCTGTCAAAGCAGCTGGGCTGCGATTGCCCGTATGGGCCCACGGTCACAGGCATCTAGAAAAGAAAGCACAAAAAACCCGCGTGGATTTGCTGCCTTGTCTGACGTGCCTCTATAACCAAACCGGGCTGCAGAGCAGGCCTGCGCACCTCAGAGCCCCTCCGAAACGGAGTGGCGGAGGCTTCACAGGCTTTCGGACCCGTTTCCTCGCCTGTCAAGCAGAACAAGGC